CGTCCTTTGATTCTAAGTTATAGGTTTGCTGGGTAGAATAATCTTGGTTGTAGGTCTTTACTTTTCATCACTTTGAGTATTTCTTGCTACTCCCTTCTGGCCTGCAAAGTTTCTTTTGAGCAATCAGTTAACAGTCTTATGAGAGCTCCCTTACAGGTAACTAACTGCTTTTTTCTTGCTGCTTTTAACATTCTCTCTTTGTATTTAATCTTTTGCATTTTAATTATGATGTGTTTGGTGTGGGTCTCTTTGGGTTCATCTTGTTTGGAACTCTGCACTTCCTGGACTTATATGTCTGTTTCTTTTACCAGTTTTCTGGCATTTTTTTCAAATAGATTTTTAATTTTTTGCACTCTCTTTTCTCCTTCCAGCAGCCCCATGATGTGAATGCTGATATGCTTGAATTTGTCTCAGAGGCTCCTTATACTGTCTTCATTTTGGGGGGTTCTTTTTTCTTGTTGTTCTGATTGTGTGTTTTCTTTTCGTGTATTTCAAATTGTTGATTTGGTTCTCAGCTTCATGCACTCTACTGTTGATTCACTGTAATTTATTCTTCATTTCAATTAGTGTGTCTTTCTTTACTGACTGGTTCTTTTTTATGGTTTACATGTCCTTTGTTAAAAATGTGGAATGGTTAATCTTGAGCCTGCAGGGAGCAAGCTGCCCCAGACTTTTCCAAGTCCACATTTCTTTGCCTCCAATTCTTACGTGCCCAAAGACTGGGAATCACAGACATGCTTTTGTAGGTGGGTTCCGTGTCATTCTTGACGGTGTTGAAGTTCTGTCTTAGTTCAACTACTCTTGCCCTAAGTTCCCTGAGCATCCATATAACTGATGTTTTGAACTTTTTATCTGGTAGATTCCTTGTCTCTTTTACTGGAGTTTGGTTCTGTTCTTTCATTTGGGGCATATTTCTTTGTCTCCTTATTTTGGCAGACTCCCTGTGTTTTTCTATGTATTAGGTAGAACTACTGTGTCCCCTGTGCTTGGTAGAGTGGCCTAATGTAGTAGGTGCCCTGTAGGGTCCAGTGGCACAGCCTCCCCTATCATCCAAACTTGGCATTCCAGTTGCCTCCCCTCCCCCCCGCCCCGCCCCGCCCCGCCCCGCGTGGACTGTGTTCACCTTCCTGTTGTATTTGAGCCATGATTGTTGTTCTCTTGTCAGTGGGAGGGATCCCCCCAGAGCAGGTCTTAATTCATCTGGGCTCTGGTGCCTGCTGAGTGTACCCCCTTGAGTGTGTCTCTGTGGAAGTGGTTGGGTGGTGGTTCGACATGGTCTGAAGCTGTTCACCAGGTGTGCTGGTTCTGGGACCTCCCAGGAGGTGCAGGCCAAAGTCAGCTGCTGCCTGTGTTCTGCTTGGAGCCACCCTGCATGAGCTACAAAGCTATCTGTGGTTGGATGCTATTTGTGCTGGGCTTGGAGGTGCCCAGAAGGGGGCAAGCTGCAAACCGCAGCTGGCTGCTGCTAATGCTGGGCCTGTGGCCACTTAGTGAGAGGTGTGGGGCATGCTGAGGCCAGATGTTGCTTGTTTGAGAGATTTTAGGAAAGTCTGAAGCAGGAGCCAAGACAGGCCATTTATATGGAAAAGGCACTGGAAACAGCTTGGGCAGACTTGCAAGTTTGGTGGGGTGGGGCCTCAGGGAATTATCAGGGTGGGACAAACAGTGATAGCTGGGTTGTTGGAGACTCAGCCCAGCTGCCAATACCTGTGGGGGGAAGGGCTCATCAGGAACAGTGGCCTCTGCTAGCACTTTTGTCTGGGTGAAAGTGGTCCCTCAGCTCTCATCTGTATGTTCCTGGTGTCTTTCCAGAAGCTATCCCAGCACTGGAGCTCAGAAAGAGAGAGTCAAGAGTGAATTTGTTTGCAAACCCTTTCAGAGGAACTGCCTGGGACTCCAGAAGCCCTTTGTCTTACTCAGCCTCAATTCTTGCTGATTCGTACAGTCAGAAGTTATGGGAACATCTCTTCCCAGCACTGGAACCTTGGGCTTAGGGGCCTGGTGTGGGGCTGGGAACCCTTACTCCTTCGTGGGGGACCTCTGCAGCTGAAATATCCCTCCCCATTTTTATATGCCACACGTGGGTGCGGGACTAGCCCATTCTGTGTCTCCACTCCTCCTACCAGTCTTGATGTGGCTTCTTTAAATCCTAAGTCATAGGACTTCTGTTCAGGTCAAGTTCAGGAAGTTCTGAATGATGGTAGTTCTGTAGTTTAGTTGTTATTTTGATATGCTTGTGGGAAGATGTGAGTACTATGTTTACCTGTGCCTCCATCTTTTAAAAATTTTTTTAAAAATATTTTTTATTGATTATACTATTACAGTTGTCCCATTTCCCCCCTTCATTCCCCTCCACTCTGCACACCCTCTCCCACTCACATTCCTCCTTTAGTTCATGTCCACGTGTCATAAGTCTTCAGCTTCTACATTTCCTATACTATTCTTGCCCTCTCACTATTTTCTACCTACCATCTATGCTACTTATTCTCTGTACCTTTTCCCCCTCTCCCCTCTCCCCTCTTCCCACTCCCCTGTTGATAACCCTCTATATGATCTCCATTTCTGCGGTTCTGTTCCTGTTCTTAGTTTGTTTCTGTTTTTGTTTTAGGTGTGGTTGTTTGTATTTGTGAGTTTGCTGTCATTTTACTGTACATGTTTTTTTATCTTCTTTTTCTTGGATAAATCCCTTTAACATTTCATAAAATAAGAGCTTGGTGATGATGAACTCCTTTAACTTGATTTTAACTGAGAAGCACCTGATCTGCCCTTCCATTCTAAATGAAAGCTTTGCTGGATAGAGCAATTTTAGATGTAGGTCCTTGCCTTTCATGACTTGGAATACTTCTTCCCAGCCCCTTCTTGCCTGCAAGGTCTCTTTTGAGAAATCAGCTGACAGTCTGATGGGAACTCCTTTGTAGGTAACTGTCTCCTACTGCTTATCTCTCGCTGCTTCTAGGACTCTCTCCTTCATTTTAATCTTGGGTAATATATTATGATGTGCCTTGGTGTTTCCTTCTTGGGTCCAACTTCTTTGGGACTCTCTGAGCTTCTTGGACTTCCTGGAAGTCTATTTCCTTTGCCAGACTGGGGAAGTTCTCCTTTATTATTTGTTCAAATAAGTTTTCCACTCTTGGCTATTCCTCTTCCCCTTCTGGTACCCCTATAATTCGGATGTTGGAATGTTGAAAGATGTCCTGGAGGTTCCTAAGCCTCTCCTAATTTTTTTTGAATTCTTGTTTCTTCATTCTTTTCTGTTTGGTCCTTTTTTTCTTCCTTCTGGTCTACTCCCGTGATTTGAGTCCCAGTTTTCTTCCCATCACTATTGGTTCCCTGTACATTTTCCTTCATTTCACCTAGCATGGCTTTCATTTGTTTATCTAATTTGTGATCAAATTCAACCAATTCTGTGAGCATCCCAAACCAGTGCTTTGAACTGTGCATCTGATAGGTTGGCTATTTGTTGCTTAGTTGTATTTTTTCTGGAGCTTTGATCTGTTCTTTCATTTGGGCCATTTTTTGTCTTGATGTCCCCGTTACGTAGTAAGGGGCAGAGCCTTAGGTGTTCACCAGGGTGGGTCAACCCAGTGACTGGGTTGTGACGCTGTTTGTGGGGCAGAGGTCCGAGAGGGACAATGGCACTTGCTCCACTCTTTACTGGATTTCAGCTCCTTCCACTGCTTCCCCTGAACAAACTGGGCCTTTCTGGTTCTGGTTCCTGGGTTACATTCTAGGACCCTGTGGGTCTCTCCAACGAACTCTCCTGTGAGGCTAGGAGTCTCTCCTGGCACCTCAATCCCACAGGTATTTTCCATTGGTGTTTTGAGGCTTTTATTTTCATGTGCTGGCACCCTGGTATGCCTGGTCTGTCTCGCTCCCCAGTTTTGCCTGGTTTGTCTGCATGCTAATGTGGGACTGCCGGATCTGTCAGCCGCCTTGTGCGCGGTACCCCTCTACAACCCACTGCCTCACTGGGTTCTCCGGCCCCTGCTTTTTTTTTTTTTTCCGATTTCTTTCCATTCAGCTGCCCAACTCTGCCCCTCCTACCAGTCTGGATGAATGTGTCTACTTTAACTCCTTGGTTGTCCAACTTTCATAACAGTTCAATTTTCTGTCAGTACTGGTTATTTTGTTTCTAAATTTTTGTCCTCCTTATTTTGGTTGTGCGAGGAGGCATAGTGTGTCTACCTACGCCTCCATCTTGGCTGGAAGTCTTTATTAAGGGAACTTTCTTATGGTGTAGTACAAGGGTGTCAAACTCATTTTCACCAGGGGCCACATCAGCCTTGAGGTTGCCTTCAAAGGGCGGAATGTAATTTTAGGACTGTAGAAATGTAACTACTCCTTAACTAGGGGCAGGGAGCCTGGAGGCTGCTGGGTAGAAATGAGGTGCTAGGTGGATAAAATAAGGTGGAGGGCCAGATTCGGCCTACAGGCCTTGTGTTTGCCACATGTGGTGTAGTGGATATTGTAGGTGCTACTGAAAATAATTTAATTTGCTGCATAGTATTTGCAAAATCATAGCTGTAGTTATAATTTAATAATGTGCATGCAGTGATTCTGCTTGCCACGTTTAATCTTGAACTTGCATGAAGCGTACAAAGCTTAGAAATGTACAGTTGATGTAACAACTGAATGTTGAAAAGATACCACAAATTAGTTTACACATAACTAATACATTAACCTGGGCAAAGTAACCAAAGTGGTGTGTAGAATTTGGATGTGTTTAAAAATCCTGTGTTAGGTGTAACAGTGCATCGGTGTAATTTTTAAGTTTATGGTATTATCATTTTGTCTTTAAAATAAGATGAGAATATATTTTGAGTGGTTAAAAGAGGTATATAAATATACACTCTAAGTCATTTTTTCTAAAATGTTGATTTATGTAACCTGCTCATGTAAGATTAAACACGCAGGTGTACTTCACAGGTTTAATGTTACCCAGTCCTCTTTGAACCTTAATGGCTAAAACAATTTGCTCAGAACTTACTTTTTCCTGACAGTTGATCCAGTCCCCTGTGACAACCCCCCTTGGGCTGATCATGTTAAAGACAACTTCAGAAGAGCTGGCTTGTCCCCGTGAAGACCTCAGTGTGGCTCGGAAGGAGGAGTTGCGGAAGCTGCTGCTGGACCAGGTGCAGACAGTGCTCAGCCTACTGACAGGTGAGGAGAGGTGATGCCAAAAGACAGAGGCCTGCCTGCACACACCTAGAGCTCAGGACTTGCCCTCAGTATTTTTGAGCAGTTGTTTTAGCTGTTACTGGACCAAGCACAAAAATGGAAAGGATGTGGAGCTATATTCCCAGCACCAGCCCAGTGCCTGGCATATGGTAGGACCTCAAAAAATATTTGTAATTTACTTTCCTTAAAATCTTCCATTAATTAGTCCTCACTCTTACTGTGATCGATGAGGTATAGAGTAGGTCATAGGAATGTGCAGAAAATGTTGATTTCTGCAGTCTAAGTAAGGTGGGTGGCAAGCACTTTATTGAAAATAATTTGTATTTAAGATGAGAAGAAATGGAAGAAGTAGGGAAATACAAAAATTTCAAATTATGTGTGGGGGACACGAGACAGGGGGTGCGATCAGTGCCCTGTGTGCTAGGTTGTAGTTGTATGCAGCATTTTCTTTGCCATCTTTTTTTTTTTTTTTAATCCTACCTGAGAACTGCTTATTTAGAAAGAGGAGAAGGAGGGAGGGAGGGAGGGAGAGAAAGAAACATCGATTGGTTGCCTTTTATATGCACCCCGATTGGGGACCAGACCTGCAACCTAAGCATGTGCCCTGACCAGGCATCGAACCCACGACCTTTCAATTTATGGGACTGTGCTCCAGCCGAGCCACACCAGCCAGGGCTCATCTTGTCTATTTTCTGTCAGAGCCACATAACAATGTGTGAAGAGTAACAGTAAACAGAATGTGATAGGAGGTAGGAAGAGAGCGGAGCACCCTGAGCTGGCAGGGCGGTGACCATGGTGCTGCCAGTGGAGCTGCTTGTTAGGTGGTGCAGGTACAGCTTGGTGAGTGTCAGGAGCCTGGGCTTGCTTGGAAATGTTCTAGTGCAAAGTGTTCGCATTTTCAGCTCCTCTACCCGTTTTTTTTTTTTTTTTTTGTATGTGTTGCAAAAGTGCTTGACATGTAGTGTGCACTTATCATTGGTTATAAGAATGCTTGATCAAAATTAATCTGGTTATTTGCCACTGTCCTTGTCCAGATCCCTAGGTGGAAACCCAACCCTCATCATTCACTCAAAGCACTTATCGACACCCCTGACTAGATGTGAAATTTCTCCTGTTAGGGACCAGGTCTGATACCTCTACTTCAGGCATTTACAGTGCCCCCCACCCCACCCCAGGTCTGTCTCTGTGGATTTTTCTTTTCTTTTTTTAACACTTTTATCGTGTTTTATTTCGAATATTCTATATTGTGTATTATATAGCAATTCAGTAAACACCTCTTCACAATAGTACTCTCTAATGCTTTCCTGCACAGTAGGGGAGGTCTGTGGAACCAAATCAGTGGGAGCCAGTGAATGAACGTTTTTGGCCATCACAATCACTGATTGGCTGGGGCCTTTTTCAGAACCGCAATTTGATATATTAAGATAGATGAGATTTAATCTGCTGTGATTTTCCCTTGTTTAGTCTATGGGTTTTTCTATTTGGATTTTTCATAAAAATGGAATCATATGATATGTGACCTTTTGTGTCTGGCTTCTTTTACTTAGTATGATATTTTTAAGGTTATCCATCCTATAATATTAAAATACTTTGAGAACAAAATATTTTCAAAAGCTTTTGTGATCCTCATAGGTGTCAGGTTCTGTAAGGAGAAACAAAGAGGAATAAAACACAGTCTCTGCCCTCTGGTAATATTTACTCTAGTGGCAGAGAAGGACAGTTAAAACTGTGTTAATAGCTATAGTAGAGGTATGTTTTATGTGCAACAGATAGGAAGACTTCCTGGAGGAGATGATAGCTGAGTGGAATTCTGGGGACTAGAGAGGTAGTAGTTACTCTGGTGTGAAGGTCAAGTTGGGATTCTGGGGGAGGAGAGCAGGTCAGAAGCTGAGAAAGGGAAGGACCTGTGTGGAAGGAACAAGAAACAGTTCAGTCAGCATGATGAAGCCTTGTGTGTGGGGGTGGGGTGGGGCGAGGTGGGAAGAGCAGAGGCCAGTTGCTGAGATGATACGGATGGTGCTGTTTCCTCGGTGAGGAAAATAAGAGGATTAGTGGCAGGTTTGTGGGGGGAAGGTAAATTGAGTTTGGAATATCTGAGTGGCCCTGTGGAAGAAGTAGTGAGAGCCTTGGCCAGGTTTCTCAGTTGGATGGAGTGTCATCCCTGTACACTAAAATGTTGCAGGTTCAATTCCCGGTCAGGGCACATACTAAGGTTGTGGGTTTGATCCCAGGTGGGGGTGTGTATGGGAGGCAACCAACTGATGTTTCTCTCTCATATCAATGTTTCTTTTTTAATTTTTATTATTTATTTACTTATTTTTAAAGATTTTGTTTATTTGGAGAGAGGGGACATGCAGGAGAAAGGGAGAGAAACATCAGTGTGTGGTTGCTTCTCACGTGGACCCCTACTGGGGACCTGACCCACAACCCAGGCATGTGCCCTGACTGGGAATCGAACTGGTAACCCTTTGGTTTGCATCCCGAGCTAGTCCACTGAGCTATACCAGCCAGGGTCACATTGATGTTTCTTTGCGCCCCTCCTCTCTCTAAAATCAAACATATCCTCAGGTGAGAATTTTTTAAAAAGCCAGACATACACTTGAGAGAGGGATCTTTAGACACTGATGTTTGATCAAAGATATCAATAAATTGCTTTTCTGAATCTGATTTGCATATGTTGGACTTTATTTTTCTCTTAAACTCATTTGTTTCTCCTCTCTTGTACATAGGTATCTTGGAGACTGTCTGGGACAAGCACAGCGTTACTGCTGCCACCCCACCACCGTCCCCAACCTCAGGAGAAAGTGGTATGATCTGCCCACCACACATGGCCTTTCTCTTTTTATGTGCAGTTGAGGGTGTCGGCAGGATAGCAATTGCTTATTTATGCCAGATAAAGATGCTGGTGCTTCCTTAATCTATTTTTGGCCTTTTTGCCCATGTTTTCTGAGTAGGTAGCTTTCTTAGTTCCCCCTAAGTACTCATACTTTCTAATATAATATTTTGAACGTCATATTTTGTTTCTTCCTTGCCCATCAGGAAGATGGCACCTTTGATCTGTCTGTCGCTTTCCATCCCCTTCAGCTCAGAACTGCTTATTCTCCTGATTTGTTTTTCTTTCTCAGTTTTCATGGCTTTATTGCTCCTGCTGAGATTGGTAGGTGCCTGTGGGCTTGACAGCTCTGCTTTGTAGTTATGCAGGGGTCACTGCTGCCTGAAGGAGGGGACTGGGGACACGGAGTGCTTTCTTCCCCACTGGTCTCAGAGAAGAGTCATGTTGGCCTGGGCAGATTGAAGACCAGTGTGTAGTGATCAGCTCTGACTTTGCATCAGTTCAGAATAATTTAATAAAGCCTGGGCATATTTGCAGTGGTCATTTAATAGTTTACTGTGGTTAGTTATTGTCCACAGTTATATTAATATCTGTTTCAAAAGTTAGGATGCAGTTCACCTAAAAATGGCTACTTTCAAGAATGGATGGAAAGAGGAAATTGTGTCTGAGCAGGAACTTTTAGTTTCTAAATGCTTCTGTTTACACTAAATGATCTCAGATGCTTTTCAAGTAGAGTACATCCTGTGAATTGGCACATCTTTCTTCCTCTACTATAAAGGTTGATGTGGCTAATGAGAAATATTTCCACATCTTAATCTTTCACCCCAAGGAAGTAGGCTGTTGAAATCAGACATCTCTGAGCCCACGCTATTTGATGTAGCCTGTTATTAATATGTGGAATTGAAATTCTTGCAGTTACTAGAGAATTGAAAATATTATCTTGAGGTTTTGGGGACTGCTCATAGTATACTCAGTTATTCCAGACTCCATTTATCATACTTGGATTAAAAACATTTAGAGTCATTTGCCATGCTTCTTACATTAAAATCTATTACAGAGGTTTAGAGGATATTAAAAACCCAAAGGAAATTCAACTTTATTTGTACTTGGTAGCAAACCTTCACTTTCAAAGTAGATATTTGAGGTGACTTAGCAGATTTTTATTTTGAAATATTTGATTAAAGAATAAAATTGCAAATGATGCAGAAATTTGATTTTATGAGAGCACCCCTTGGAATCTCCTGCAATTTATTTAGCTGATCTTAAAATGGGTCATTTCACTTAAGTAATAGTTTGCAAAGATTAGTTCTTTTGAATTAATTTGTTTTTGGTAGTTGAATCCTGGCTTAGTATCCAGTTACAGTTAGGAGTAGCAGTATACCCCAGTAAAACTTGGTTTTCTGTGATGGTTTGCCACTACCAAAATCTGTGTGTTTTAGTTGGCTTTGTGTTGGTACATTAAGCTAATAACTCAGTTTATGCTTTGATAGACTTATTTTCCTTGAGGCCAGGTTGGGGAATATAAAAAATACCAATTAAAAGTAATGCTTGCTCTTTCACGTGTTGCATAGGTTTTGTTTATGAGATTAGGTAAAATAAAATATGAACTAATTTGACATTTCCATATAAACAAAACCTAAACAACATTGTGTACTTATTGACAGTTGCCTCTTGGACATTATTAAAGTATTTTTGAAGCCTTGAATTTTAGTATTTGAGAAAAAGCAAAATAAATTGAGAATATGGGGAGGCCTGGGGAGTTAAGTAAGCTCTTAAGCTGGTATGTTCACTTGTTACTTTTTTTTTCTTTGTAACAGTTGCAAGTAAAATCATCAGAATTTGCCTTATTATTTGGACAGCACTGATAATTCAATCAGTGTTTGTTTTGATGCTTTTACTCAACTGCCTTTGTGTACTCATGACACCAAGTTAAGCAGTAAAACTTCTAGAAAAGTGTTTAACTTTTTTGACCATAAGCTTAGTTTTATGGAGGAAATTCATTCTGAGAAATGTCAGGGCCCAGTGAATAATCAAATAATTTTTAGACATACCCCATCAGTAGCCCAGATGGGCCCTCCCTGCCCTGCCTGAATCCCGTGCAGCTCCCTGTCAGACGCACCCTGTGGGCCTTCGGTCTCTTTCTCATACACTGTCTTGTAAAGTTGTTTTCTGTCTGATCACTTTCAAAGAAAAAGCCCAGGGACTAGTTCCTGCAGCAACAGTCATGATATAGAAAATGTCTTAAAGGCTGTTTGTGGTTTATTTCTCAGAATAGTTCCCCAAATTGTTGCCTTATCTCCTAAACTTCTTCGACCAGACCAGATGTAGATGTGAAATAGATGGTGGTTTTACATTTGGTTTACAAACGAACTGGGGGCTCATGGAGGGTAACTTGCCAGAGGTCACATCACTAGTTAGTGGTGGGACAGGAATACGTGAGTCTATTATTCCTAATCTAGGTGCGCCGTCTTTGTCCTAAATTGACTTTCTTAATCCCTCTCACCACCTGCGCCAGCCTCCTCCTTCAGGGTTTGAACCCTGACTCTGCCACTTCCTCTTCATGCCCTCTGACTGCTGATGTCCGCAGCTGTAAAAGGAGGGTAGGAGAGAAGTGAGGGATGATGTGGATGTGTCCTCTGCAGGCCGTTATTCCTTCTGCCCGTGTGCAGCCTCAGCCCTCTTAGTCTTTTTGTCTTTTTTTTTGCTTGAACAAATGGAAAAAAAGTGAACAAAATAATGTTAGACAATGCTGTGATTCTGAATTAGCTCTAATTGTTCTGCAACAAAAATTTCTCATTCACATGGTGTATATTTTCATAGTTCTGTACATAACACTGGTGATGGAAAGTGTTTCAGGGAGCAGCTATATTATAGAATTTGAGTTGATTGAGACCAGTTTATACTTTCCTATTTTCCCCCCAAACTCTTTCAAAATTGCACATCTTTGTGCACTTGCAAATCTTCCCAGGTATTCCCTTATAAGCTACTTATAGAAAGATGGGACTTGGGAGAGCCAGTCACAACTCCTACGATCTCATTTTCTCCCCCTAGGGCTCCTTGAGTAAAGTTTCTCTGCAGTTTACTGCACTGAGGCTGCAGTTAGGTCAGTGGTTCTCAGTTGGGGTGATTTTGCTCTGTAGGGAATTATTTGGCAATGTGGAGGAATTTTTCAGTTACCATCACTGGATAAAAGATTACTGTTGGCATCTGGCAACTGGAGGCTAGGGATGCTGCTAAAATGTCCTACAGTGCACAGAACAGCAAAGAATGACAGTCCAAATTTCAGTAGTGCTGAGGTTGGGAGATTCTGAGTGAGTAAATACAGAATGCAGTAGAAAACTTATGAAATTTTAATAATGAAAAAAGTAGAAAAGCTGAGGGGGATCTTCGCATGAGCTGGTTATAGGTGTTCCAACCATGTCTTGGTTGCTTCCAAGTTAGTAAATGCACTGGAGTCATCCATGCATTTCTTGGTGCGTGGGCGCATGTTGCTGCCAGGGCCTGGCCCAGTTCAGGGAAGAGAAAGTTGCCCATAGGTTTTATACTCAAGGTTCCTACCCTCTTACACGGGTAGCTTGTTAAAGCCCTCTCAGGGATGCAGAGCCTTTGTTCTGTGATAAGTCCTTCCACTTTGATTAAAATATAATTTTTGAAAATCTCTTCCATACTCTGCCAAGTAAAATCACTTTCATTGAGAAACAACGTTAAAAGATTTTTTTTGTTTTGCTTTCCTGATTAGTCCTTGTTCTTAACAGTTTCTGTAATTGCAGTCATAGTATACACAGTATATATGGCTTCGAAGTCCTAAATCTTTTTCTATGTTGGAATGTTAGCTTTCTTACTGATCATTTTTCCTGGTTACATAATTTTTCTGGGTAACCTGCCTTCTGGGAAGGAGCATAGGATTTGGGGTTTCAGTTTCAGCTTCAGCTGTGCCTCTCAGTAGCTGAGGAACATGGGGGAAATGCCGAATCAGTCTATCTTAATTATCCTAACAGTCTGTAAATGCAATAATAATACCTACCTCAGAGCTGTGGACATTCAGTGAGAATATGTTTGGTAAGTGCTCTGTGCGGTGCCAAGCAAATAACAACAGCAGATCAACAATGGTAGCTGCTCTGAAGACCGTTATTGTCATCTGTGTTTTAATTCAGCATTCCCCATTATAGAAAAAACCTTCAGAGCTAAAGAGTGGGGACAAATTTCCTTTTTTTTTTTTAAGCCAGAATTTAGTCCTACTTAAACATGTTCAAGAGACTTTAAAAAGGCTTACAGGCCCAAAGACATGCAGATTTAATTTAAGATTATACTTAGGTGGCATCTGTTGGTTCTTCATCGTTAAAGCCTGATTTTGATCCTGGTTTAAGGATCAAACTATGCCCCAAGAATTCTGGTTGGGTAGTGGTGGTTTCCTCCGACTCGGGCATCTTCCATAAACAGCCCTTGGCCCATGGGTGACGAACAAAGCAATACCAGAAACAGTATCTTTGGCAGAGAGTTGTATGACTCAAGTGTAAAGTCACCACAGCAGTTTCAAAATCAAAATTTTCTTATCAATCCTGTAACAAACCGAACATTTTCAGATTCTACTTGAACACCCTTTTAGCATTATTCTTTGAAACCGGGTCCTGTGATTTATCAGCTCGGCCAGTTGAGATTATGATGAGTGCATCTGGTACTCAATGCAGCTCTTTAGGGGCAACTTTTTAATCTATTTGTAACAATGCAAATTAATCTTTTTATTAATAACCACTCATCAAATTTTAATGTTACATCAAAGAATAGCTACAGTTATTTTTTTCTTTTTTACTCATATATCTATATGTGCAGCTGGGTTTTCTTGATGTAAGTGAAAAGAACATACTGCAATAGATTTAATGGAGAAGCAGATGAGAGAATCAAGTTATCTTCCTTTAAGTCAGATATTAAAGAGATTTCCAAAAATGTATAAACAGTGCTATTCTTATTATTTTG